GCGGCTTTTAGGCTCCTGCCACTTTTTTACAGCCTGCTCAATTCTTTCCATGTTATAACTCCTGAAGTCGGCTACTTTCCGCCTATTGATTAACTTCGAGAGCTCCACTAGCTCTATTCTGTCAAAGAAAAGAGGTCTGGAGTGCGGCCTCACTGGCGACCATCTGCCCGTAATGCACACCCTCATCAGAGCAGGACTTGGCCACCCTGGTGCAGTACCTGGCCACAAACTCCCATGAACACAGCAATTAACCTTTGGGCCTCAGTTCCTAGCAGCTGCGAAGCAATTGTCCAAGGCGGCGGCCAGACCTGTGACGCAGCGGAGGGTGCTGAGAATCCCTGGGTACGGACAGGCCACCATTGGAATCTGAACATGGCTACCTTCAACACTAGAACGCTATCTAGTGAGGCTAGTCTAGCTATGCTATTCGAGGAATTAGAGGGTGTTAAATGGGATGTAATAGGGCTCAGCGAAGTAAGGAGGACACGGGAGGCTTATACAGTGCTGAAAAATGGACATGTCCTATGCCACCGTAGATTAGTTGACCGAAAATAACTAGGAGTGGGGTTTCTCATACACAAGTATATCGCTGGCAACATAGAAGAATACTATAGCATCATAGAGAGGGTGGCAAGTATTATAAATAAATTTAACAAAAGGAACAAGATGAAAGTGGTACAAGCCTGTGCGCTTATATCAATCCGATGATCATTTGGTTTAACGCTTTTCTGAAGATGCAGAGTCAGCCAATTATTAAAGTAAAGACACAGTATACTATTCTTATGGGCGACTTTGATGCCAAAGTAGGCAAAAAAACAGGCCAGAGACCATGCAGTGTCCCCGGGAATGTGGCATCGGCTCTAGAAATGCCAGAGGGGAGTTATTAGTAGAGTTCGCAGAACGTAATAATTTATGGATTATGAATACCTTCTTCAGAAAACGGCTAACCTTTAAGTGGACGTGGTGAAGTCCGAATGGCGAAAACTAAAGTCGAACCCTGCTACAGGGAACGCTGCTTCAATGAAATTCCCGCTACAACGAAAAATTCACGGTTCCCTGTCAGTAGTCCATAGGAGTCAATGCATAAATATTGTCGCCACAATGAACACTTTTTCTTCTGCCGCCCCACTTCAGCAAAATTTCACGATGTGATTCCAGGCTCAGATATTTATTGCTATACAGTAAACCAAATTTTTAACATTTTGATGCATGTTTAGAACCTGGAAAAACGTAGACGAAGTCTAAAACACGCATTGGCACCACCAAAATTTACCGCTGTTTAGGAAGCAAGGGCGCCGCCATTGCTCGATAGCAATGGCAATGAGACTGCCCTGCTTTTGCCAGTGACAAAAGCAGGGCAGTGCCATTGCCATCGCTATTGAGCAATGGTGGTGCCCTTGCTTGTTGAACGGCGGTGGTTCTTGGTATTGCCAACGCGTGTTTTAGACTTCGTCGACGTGTTTTCAGGTTCTGAAAATGCATCAAAATGTTAAAACTTTGGGTTTACTGTATAGCCGCATACGATCCGAAGCTGAAGCTCAGTTGCTTATTGATGGTTTCGTTCGCGCACCTGCTGGGTGCATCTGCGGAACGATGCCTTTTCCCGATTCCAATGCTTATCATTTTGTTGGCCCTTGGCAAGTGTGGTAACTAATCAGAGCGGCTGTTGTCCGCATTATCAACAAAGTCAGTCATCATTATCCATTATCAACAAAGTGATTGATGATAAGAATGACATAAAATAAGGCAAAAGTCACCGCTCCACGATACCCTGCTGTTATCTTGGTGTTTTGACGGCGGATAGCTGCTGGTGCTAACGTGTTATAGCAACTGTTTGTTTTGTTCACAAAAGTGGTTGTAGTGATTGTTTCAGCGTGCTTTTCATCGCGGGCTCGCTATGCATGGCTGGGTCGCGTCGTGACGCTGCTGGGATGGAATAAAAAGCAGAGGACACTTATCGAATTTTGAAAATAAACGTTCCTTTGTTTTGCTAGCTCAGATCGGCTTTTTTTCTATTTCACTGCAATGAAACTTTTGCTTCAACGAAATTTTTTCTGCGCCCCTTCAATTTCCTTGCAGCGGGGTTCGACTGTAAAAATAAAATTGACTTGATTCTGTGTGCACACTCGGACATTGTACAGGGCGTAAAAGTAGTTGGCAAGGTTACATGCAGTGACCGTAGAATGACAAAAGCTTGTATACACCTAAATTTAAAAAAATCAAACAAAAACTGATACGCAAGAAGCCAGTTAATAAACTGGCGGTGAGAGGAAAAATACAGGAATTCATAGTTTTACTTCAGAATCGATTCGAGGCACTAAATGAGATAACCGTCGTTAGCGTTGACACAATGAATAATAATCTTGCTAGTATCATCAAAGATTGGGAAATTGAAGTGGCAGGTTCAGTCACTAGACGGAAAACTGTCAAACTACCTCGGGAGATAAAAAATCTTATTAAGAGAGGTGAAACGACAAAAGCCTCAAATGCAACCGACGAAACAGTGCTAGTGGAGCTTTCGAAGAGTTTTACTAGGCTTGTACAAATATTAGAATGCTCGTATAGATAGCACTGTATTCGCTTTGATTCGAATTCAGATTACTGAAAATTTTAAAGTATTCGAAATGAATGTAGTGTACATTAATCTGGATGTAACCAACCATTTGTAAAGGTAATTTCCCTGCAGTGAAGGAATGCCAAGCTGTGAAAACGCCTAGACGAAAGAAATCTGCACTGCAACGAAGGCCCATTTCAAGGTATCACCGTCACATATCACCCTCACATTGCTTCATTATTTTTTAAGTTCATACACTTGTTATACCGGCCTATGTGCTCAAAGTATGGTAAATTTTAAACGTAACATTTACCAGGTTATCACTTGTATTTTACCAAAGTTGAATCCTGCTACTATTCAAAGTTGTTTCCACTTCCTTTGATGTCATATTTGCACAAAAAGAATGGCATATTTGCGCAGGCCTTGTTTCAGATTTTCAAAAATGTTGTCAGGTTAAATGGGTCATGACAAATATGGCCCAAATTCACTACTTGCTTGGAATTATTTTCAAACGTAAAATTCACCATTTGTACAAGCCTAGTTCTTATGCATCCAGGTTATATCCTTCAGATCAAAGTGTGTCTGCAAAACTCATAGTTTCTTGAAAGCACTTCTACAAGGATTTGCAGCACCAAATCGTGCAGTGAAAGCGAAAACTGCAGCAACTGTGGCGATGCAGCGAGTTTCCTGTCATCGCCCCACGGGCAATGCATCGGATGCAATTCTCCACAGATTAATTTCTCCATGCCTCCAAGTTTCGAATTTCGCAAGTGGTACGATTAAACAGCTCCGGCTTTACTATCACTAAGCAGTACGTCTGCAAAATGAAGTGTGAAGTAAATGAACGTGAAGAGCATATTTTTCTTGCATTAGTCAATTACTCTTTATTATGCCGAAAAGGCCATGCCTGTCGCAAGACGAAAGATAATAAGCAAGAAAATATGCAATATAAAGTGTGGGAGGCAGTGCCACCTTAAAATTCCTGCACAAACTACAGGGACCTCATGGACTTGGACTACTTTCACAATGGCCTACGCAGCTCCTAATTGGCAAAAATGATGGTCCACTGAAAGGGCCAGAGATTTACTATGTACAGTGAAATCTCGGTATAACCAACTTCAGTGGACGGCAGAAATTTGTTGGTTATTTTGAAAGGTCGTTATAGTAAAAGCGCGAAAATTAACCAAAAATACTTATTTTTCACCGACCATAACGACTTACCTTTACAACGATGAGTCCTTGAACTCATTTTTCATGAGAAAAAAACAAATCCACAAGTAAAAACCAAAAAATTCACATTCACTTTAAAGAAGTCTGCGATTTTTGTTTACGCTGGGCAGCACAAACTTTGCAGCGCGAAGGCCTCCATCCAACTCATCCACATTCCTATGGTGCGATTCGGTTCTTTGGTCACAACAGCCTGTTTTCTGCCTTCCAGTTGCCGAAGAATATCCGTCGTCTCGCTTAGCGAAAAACTGCTTCTGCTTCTTCGTCGCAAGCAGAGATGAACTCATTTGTAGTATCATCGCACCGCGAACGGCAACTTGCTTTGCGGACGCGATGAGTAATCACCGAAAAGAGATGAACAAGACTGAAAAAACAAGGCCTCCAAAGAAAAAACCAAAGTGTCACGGCTGTCATTGCCTCTTTCGAAGGGAAAAAAAGTGCTAGAAAAGACAATTCCCTGCGTTTCTTTTTCTGCTCTCTCGCTGTCTCAGGTTTTCGGCACCAATGCTTCCTGCTTCGCAACTCCCACTCTGCCTCGCTTGTAAACCTGCAGCATCGGCGTTTCAACAACGCCAAAAAAAAGTCGCCCTTTGCTGTGTTTTTTTTTTTCTTTCTCCACACCGCCGCACGTCTTCCGAGAACCAAGGCGTCCGTTAGCTTTGTCGTCTGCTTGCGTACCGCTTCGGTGGTCCCGACGGATTTCAGTACATAAGTTCGTAGTACTGAGGCATTGTTAATAAAATGCGGAACTAAATTACCGCTCATTGTTCTAAAAAGTACGGTATTCTGAAGTACGCAATAGTAAATAATTTTATATTGAAACTATTAGCAGTCGGCGTGGAATTTTTTAAAAGTACGCTAATCTGAAAAGTTCGTTAATGTGGAGTTCGTTCTACCAAGATTTCACTGTACCAAGTTACATAAAATTTCATTGACCAATGTTGCCAAAACATGTAAAGTACACATCCAAATCCGTGACATGATGTACGGAGATTACGGCACAAAATTTCAAATAGCATTGACAACCTTGATTTTACCAAGTATTAATAACACGATGAAGGTCAAATTAGCATCTTTAAAGCCTTTGAGGTACAGCTTGTCAATAGGAACAGATTCATTATTTCAATTTAGTGTCCCTTTATACGATAAGCACCAGTGCTTGGTGTGTATCCTATTTCGTCTCACGCAGACTTGAGCCCCCGCAAAAAGCTGTACTCACGTTTGTAGAATTCCGCCACTGGGGTGACGCCCGGCGGCAAGAGGGCGTGCACACGGGACAGCACTGTGGCACCTTCGCTGAGACGTGCGTCAGCATTCCACAGCTGCACTATGTCGTCCCTATCTCGCACGCACACAGACACACCGCATATGTCATCGCCTGCAGGTAGACAGACCAGAGGACAGGACAATTACGTCAAATAAGTTTTTAGATTAATGGATTTCTCACTGCATGCATCATCGCCATCATTCGCTGCCTGGTGTTGCTCCTGCTGATTAATGTGTTTCATTCATCTCAGAATAAAACGAAATTCACCCTCACTTGTCACGTGCCACAGAGGGACTATGTAACTAGTAACTTTTTTTTAAGTATGGCTCGAACAATTTTCCAAATTGTAAGCTCCAGACTATTTACCGGACATATCACTATGATGCAAGAAAATTTAAACGTAATCGGTCAGATAGTTTTCCAGACAATATACATGATGATTAAAAAAATTCCAACAGAGAGATTTTGAGAGAAACGCACTGTTATGCTAAAAATACACACGCAGGAAACAAGAAGTGCTCACAACAAACTTTAATTGAAAGTTTGCGGTGGGTCTGCCTTCTCTACCTTTGTTTGTTGCGCAACCGTACCAACGTAACAAACTGTGAAGGGTTAATATTTAGTGTTGAAATTTAAAAAAAATCGCCTTCTTGGTAGATCTTTTAAAACTATACCCCCTCATGTTTTAGAGAAAATCACTAACGCAAGGCAAGGGGGAAACGAAGGAGAAATGTTCCTCACCTGGCCGCACATCTTCCGCAAACTGCTCTCCGATGGCGGCCAATATAAGCTCCTTCCACACCAGTGGCTGCAACAAGTTCACATTTAATCAAGCGACCATTGCTTAGGTACTGAGGTGCATAAAACAACAGATGCCTCTTTTCATGATAATAAAAAAAGTTACATATATTGGTCATTCAAGTTCAATGAGCCTAACTCTCAGTATTCAAATTATGCCTGTGATCTCCGTTGTACAGCACTCGCAAATAGAAGCAAAATTGTTTAGGGCAAAGTAACGCACATATCTTTGTTTCCACTCCGTTCAGTTATAGCCGTATCGACGCTCAGTGGACTCAGTAAACGAATATTTCTTGGATGAAATTGCTGCTTAAGTGTAACGAGTGGTTCTGACAAGATCGGTATCACTCTTGCTATTTGCACCCCTCGTTATCTATCAGTAAACTCTTTTGTGAAATGTAACGTACCTACCTGGTACCTTCATGGCCAGTTTAACGAGGGTCTACTGTAATTGCTACTCGGACAACTAGGCCACAATCGACATCACCTTAAAGGACGATATTTGCCGCTACGTCATATGATTATTTCAAGCAAATGTGCATACTAATCGTTCAACTAAAACGTTTGACGTCTTGTACGAATCTATGAGCACTGTACCCCGATGCTATTATTGTTCCAAAATTGCGGCTGGAAATGATCAATTAATTTTTAAGAACCCCGCTTTTAGCACATTTCACACTAGTAAGCTTATGCCTGCTTGCACTGCCCCATAAAGCACGATAAATCAAAGAAACGAAATAAGGCTTGTGCATGGCATTGAGAAAAATTAGCTCAGTTTACCCCTGGCTACTGCAACCAACAGGTGCAATCGAGCACAACTGATGCTGCCATGAGAGTTTACTTTTACTTGCTACAAAGCTTTCAGTATATGTGCTAATACAGAATAGAGAAACACATTTCAACTAGACAGTGCACATCACTAATAAAAGGTGTTTAAAGTGCATTAATAAAATCCCTGAAAATGCTTGTGGGTTTTGTAAAGTTATCAAGCCTAAAACCTCGCGTCACCCCACGCAATACTCAATAGGGCACCAAAGCGATTTCTGAAGATGACCTTGCTTCTCTTCTCGATAAGAGGTGAACCGAAAACCGCGAAACCGCCGGAGTATCGAGAGAGAGTGGCACTCACTGTGTGCTTCTTGTGGCATCGGATGCGCCAGGTGCCACCACGCTGGTTTTCAGGGTCTTCCCAGAGGGGCCGTCTCTGTCCCCTCATTAGGTGGTAGGTGTGCCTCAAGCCGAGCTCGCACACGTCTGGTATGTGGTGAAACACAGCCCAGAAACCCTGCACAGAAATCGCACCACATTGAATATCGGGACCGGACACGGTTGGTTGAAAGCTGGCTGCCCACCCAGCACACACTCGACATCACCCTACTTTACATGGCAAATACATGTCTATTAAGCCATCTGCCAAGGAAACCAAGTTGCTAGGGGTGTTGCTAAGCTTGTGGTAACGAGGTATATCCCTGGCCACCGCCACCACGTTTCCATGGGCCAACAAAACAAGACAGGCGTAACTTTAAGGGACACGAGAACTGCAGAGGGGGTCAGAAAACACGCCGGGGTAGCCGATACGTAAGCAGATATTAAAAGAAAAAAAGAGACCTGGGCAGGCCCTATCACGAGGCCAAGTAACTGATGGTTTTTAACTATTAAAAAAAAAACTTTTATGCATAAAATGAATTCCACAAGCAGGAGACAAATTGAATGGACAAACACTGGAAGGAAGATAATGACGATAGTTATAGTACGAGAACAGAACGATGACAAAGAGACAAGAAAGACACTATGGGCGTCACTGATTCTAAACAAGCTGAAGGCACTATATAAATAGCAGTGTACACTGTATAGCTCAACAGGACAGAAGCGATAATGCTCATGCATATGATGCTATTTATATTGTGCCTTCGGCTTGTTTAGAATCAGTGACGCCTATAGTGTCCTTTGGTGGCCAGCATTCGGTACCTGATAAAAAATGGTCCCCAGCGAAAGTGATACAAATACGGATCGCATGTTACCTCCAAGAAAAAAAGCCATCTCAGCACCACAAAAAGATCATGAAGAAAATTCACATAGCACAGCCGAGGAAAAAAAAACTAATAGAGAAATTATGCCCCATAGTTCACTAGCAAGTGTAGAATGGCCTGCTGTGCACTATGCAAATAAATTGTGGCTTTGCCATTTATAATATATAGAAAATTTCAACATCACCAAATGGCAGGGAGCATGCATCATTCAATAGTTAAAGCGACACTAAATTGAAGCAATGAATGGGTATAGATTGTTCAATTGCGTTTCAAGAACTCTAGTAGTGCCGATTTTTTCGTTGTCATGGGTCTATCATTAGAAGTAAAAACCAAAATGGAGGTTAGAGTTCTATTTTAAAATTTCAAATGAGCCGAAATCTTCATGTGTGCCATCACGGTTTTCACACTGATTCGTATTTTCAAGTCGTAGGCTCTACGCAATTTCTTGTAACTTATTATGTTAAGTTCGTGGCCGCCTCAGGAGACAATGCAGTTTATTCTTACAAATAAATTATGTAGAAAGTACAAATCTACGATGCAACAGCTCCTAGACAAGAGAACTTGAAAGTGGCACTGCCACGCCGCCTTTTTTTCACATGTTTTCTCACCTATGAAGCTTCTTCAAGTGGCAAGCGTGGCAATTTTGGAATTGTGAATGACTGAATAGCCAATATGAAAAAAAAAAAGAATGGTTTTCTCTGTAATGTCCTTTTTAGGGGGTACTTACAAAAAAATTTGGGCTCGCTCTTTTTTTATTTTTCGTGCAATGTGTTGCTGGAGGCCTGCTAGTCATAACATGGCATATTGTTTACTACAGCATGCGACAGATAATTAATTACAGGCTTCTTCCTCCCCATTACTGACTAGACTCGGTTTCAGTTTGAGAAAGCTTGAAAACGACAAGCCATAAAGTGCAACTATCACCACCTGGCATGAGCAACTTTCAACGTTTCAGCACACAGAATTGCGATGCACTTCGGCACGGTCCATATCAAAAAGTCCTTTCAAAGAGGAAACAGGACAGCAGTGTAACAAGATACGAAACTTTTAACGCGTACACCGTGGCCATGCGCTTGTGAGCAGCTGCCAAGTAATAGTATGACGGTGCAAAAGCGGCAAAATAAAAATGGCAGCTATGATATCCCAACTTGCTGCAGCATGGTCACATAAGGGAAGTAAGGGGGTCGCCAAGGGTCACCTTTAAAGGTGTCAATAGTGCAAGAGAGCCAATCGTTCACACAAACTTCAAAATTAATTTAAAGTACCTTCCAAGCTATATTTGCTGTTGATATTTTGCAACTAATATGCGCATATTCACGAGTATTGGTCCCACAGGCTATCTTGGCAGTGAAATTTTGTGCCAGAACCTTTTTACAAGATACATACAGCAAACAGATTCACGTGATGGTAAAAAAGCTGCAAGACTGACAGCATGCTGGACGCTAAAGCAACCCATAGAGCTGCACAATGGACTGCTGTTTTTAGTGACCTTTTGTGCAGTGCGAGCCCCGAATGGGTCGCAGCAGATCTAATGAGGCGTGTAGCTCTTGAGGCATTTCTCTGGTGTTTCAATACATTTGCCCCCACTTAAGAGACCGAGTTATGCCATCTGGACTCGCCCATGAGGTGTTCCTCATGAACTCGCACTCAAGGCAACCCGCGTCAGATCCCAGACTTCAATTTCGTCTCAAATGAGAAAGTGCAGTGACGCCGACAACTCTGTTTCTATAACGTTCCATTTGCAGACAATGTTGTAGGTCAAAAACCTGAAACGATTAAGTCACAAGAGGCCAGATTGCTTGCAACCTCTCAATGAAATGGCACATAGCCTGTTAGGGCATGTCATGGGGTGCATGTGCATTTTCACTTAATTTTCCAGAATCAATACGCACCGCCATGCAAAAGAGTGATAGCGTCCTCGGTATAGCAAGATATTATGCGTTTCGCTTTGCTGTACATGCAGTAGTTGTTGCCATTTTTCCCTAGACAACATTTACACCATGCCGTTTCTTTCGCAATCCTGCTAAAGATGCTAAGCAGTAATACATAAGTCTTTCAACCTACCTGCACAGTGTTCACGGTGTAGATTTTCTTCAGGCTGGCTGTATACTCAGCAGCTGAAATGCCTCGACCTTCCGTCCTGCAAGACAAGCAACAATTGATCGGTCAGCTGCCGGCTTGTTCGAAGATCACGTGCTATTAAACCTGGTAAACCATGAATCCTCTGTACATTTTGCCCACTCGATTTTATTACATCGCTCCCCCTAGCGCACGTCGCCGCACTAAATCGAACGATTGCCTTCAACCAATGACACGCGCCATATGTGACATCATTCCTATTTTATAAGATCTCGCGTCTTTCATCAACTACAAGTACCGCTTTCTAGTTTATAACATCTTGCATCTTTTCATCATCAGCTACAAGTACCACCATCTAGTAAACACTACAAGAACTAAACTAGAGGTGGCTACATACAGGGGACGGTACCGCCATCTAGTGAACACTGCAAGAACTAAACTAGAGGTGGCTACATACAGGGGACGGTACCGCCATCTAGTGAACACTGCAAGAACTAAACTAGAGGTGGCTACATACAGGCTACAGGGGACGCACAGCCCACGCCCTAAGGAGCTTCACCCCTAAAAAAGTGTGTTCCACACTGTAGTGTACACATATCCCGAAGGAGTACGGCCACTAGCGTGGGTCCTGTCTTAGCGAGCCACAGAGCATGCGTTAACCGTCCTTGTGGCAAGAACACGGTACTGCTCAAAGTCGCAACACTTTATTGTCTGTGGCAACACCAAAACACAGTACAGAGCCCGTTACAAAGGCGCGACGGGAAAGCAGATGGGCTTATCCACGCCACGGGCGAGAAGCACAACACAGGGGTGCCACGAGCACGTCTCTGTGGTAAAAGTGATTCACGGAAACACTGGAACAAAGAGTTGGTTGCTAGAGCGAGGGCAAAGGCACTCGCGTTGGCTTTGGAGAGATACGGGTCGGCGTAGCCTGGCCTTGCACTAGGACACCGCACCGCTCTTCGGCCTAGCGTTTGCAAGGGGCTACAAAAGATGAGCGTTCGCCGTGGGCGCAAAGCACCATTGGCGTAGTCCGACGAGCCCCAAACAATAGGAGTCGACGGACGGAAAAAGAGATGGTCCTGGAGGTCGGTTGGTCAGAGGCGCTACACCTAGTGTTGAAAGTTTGGATATGCAACGATGGTGGGCGTAAGTTCGGTAGGCTGATTTTCTCCAGACATAACGAGATGTTGGCTGGTGTAGAAGTTTACTGGCCCGGCCACCAGAGGCTCTAGAATTTTACCGAACTTCCAAAATCTGGTCGCAAGTTTCACCAGATGGCAACGCTACTCGAAGGGCACCCCGAGAACGAAATTATTTTGCCTTCGATGTCGTCACGTGGCCGTTGCTGGGTGCAAGTGAGCGCACATTTCTGCGACAGTGTAGCTAATAGCGAGCCGTTGCGGTTGTTATGCATTGGGCGTTCTGCAGATTACAAATGCGCTTCCTGGACAGATCTCTCTCACTCCCTACGCACGCGCAAAACATCCCGAGAGACTCTGCGCGCAGCACCACAGTCGACATCCGCTGCCGGGTGAGAGGGGTTGAACGTCACTCTCCACTTTCCCAGCGCAGCTGAGCACGGAGAAGGAGAGAGTCATGTCGGGACATGAGAACGCAGAAGGAGGCGGAAAAGCCCGCGTAAAGGCGGCGGGCTAACTTCAATTCCCGCATCCCCCTGTCCTAAAGTTGCCCTATACCTGTCTGCAAAGGCAGTCAAATGTCGCCCATGCAGTTAAAATGACACTGCTATGAGCAACAGCTTACCTCAGTCCAGCCCTGTGACTGCTGCTAAAAAATATGACATAGAAAAAAAATTAATAACAAAATAAACACATGACACTGTTACATGTTGACGAAAAAAAAAAGAGCAAAGAAAGTAAGGCTAGAGTTCATAGTGCTGAGGTGGGATAGCGTCTACCACGCAGAGGAGCGGAAGAGCGTGACAACGTCCGCTGGGTGCGATGCCTGTGTGGGGGGGCCAGAGGCACAGAAGGGGCTCTCTGATCGCTCGTGGTTGCTCTTGATTGGTCAGCGTGTTCGGTGAACGCGGCTTTAGTGGTGGTTCGGAGGGCCCCGCGTTTCTCGATGGACGACGCGAGAACCTTGCTGGGAAGCCGGGAGTCTCCGGGGATCAGGGAGGCTGAACAGAAATCGGCCAGGCGTCCTGGCATTGGCCGGCAGCGTATAGCTGCTGTCAGCTGGGCTTGCGCAAGAGCCATAATGCAAAAGGCAGCAGGGCTTTTCGGCAAAGGCCAAGATCAGAGCACAGCCAGACTGTCTGAGCAAGTACGTGGGTGGAGTTCGAGCTTCCTCCACTCGGTACGGACCAAACCACTTAGAAGCAAGCGAGATTAAGAAGCAAGCAAGATTAAGAACCCTTACTGGCATCGCTAAGAGCGCGGTTACGCTTCAGGACAAAATTGCCCACCTCAAAAACTAGGTCGCAATGCTTGCGGTCATATTGGGCCTTCTGCTCAACCCTGGCAGACGCCAAACTTTGCCTTGCTTTGCAGAAGCTCGACAAAGCCTGTCCCTAAGTCTCGACACCTAAACAGGGCAGTCTGCCTGCGTCTCCTCGTCCTCGAGCTGGCATTGAATGACGCTGGTCACCCGATTTGCCAACTCCCTTCCAAAATTTAGGAAAGCGGGGGAGAAATCAGTTGAGCGACTCTCGGATGTTTGAATAGTGAACGCGACCTCGCACAACTGGTCTGCCCAGTCCCTTTTGGCAAAGGCCGCCAACATCGGTTTGAGTGTACGATTGACGCACTCCGTCAAATTGAACTGGGGATGGTAGAGTGAAGTGATGCAGTGATCAATTTCAAGGGAACGGCATGCGACACTAAGCACCCGAGCGGTGAAATACGAAGCATTGTCCGTGATAAGCCTTTCCGGGAAGCCCAACCAACAAAACACTTCCTGTAGCTTCTCAAGCATCCCTCACGCTGTCACCTTCCGAAGAGGGAACAAGTCCACCCACTTTGAAAAATTATCAACGACTACCATCAGGTGAATGAACCCCTGCTTACTTCTGGGAAATGGTTCCATTAGATAGCAGTTGGCCACTTGCCACGAACGCTCACTGACAATCAGTTTCGTCAGACCGGGCGGGTTGCCACCTCTTGATTTCACTGTTTGACAGATGCGGCAAGAATGGCAATGGCGAAAAATGTCACGCTTCATGACGGGCCAGGTTGCGACGCAGCTCACTTTTGCAAAAACGTTCCAGCCACTCAGGTGATCGGCCATGGGTTCGTCGTGAGAGGATCGCAGGAGTGCGACTCCGATTTCTGGGCATAACCACCTTAAACGGGTCGATGGACTCGTCGTCAGTGGGTATATATTTCAGGAGGAGCCCGTCATGGTCCAGGAAACATGAATCCGCCGATACTCAGCGACAAACACTGGTTCGAGCCCCTATACACGCCCGCTGCAGAGCAATAGCGTCACGACGCTCCGTCTCTCTGAAACTGTCACATATTTCACGACAAAACGGATCACTTTGCGGGGCCTTCAGAAGCTCTTCTCTGCTGAAAATGATTCCCACTCTCCCCAAATAAGGGAGTCTGGTAATGCGTCCACTCAGGACCGCAGCAACAGCTGCTTGTGTTGGCGTTACGGGTTCGCTCTCGGCATCGTAGCCTTCGGAAAGCTACCCTGCTCGGCCGCTTTGCGGTGCGCTGCTTACCTAGATAGCAGCCAAGGTTTGTCCGCATGTGGACTCACCTTTTGCGCAAAATGGCGGCGAAGCCGCTGTTTCGCTCCCGACGCTTGCATGTGCAAAGGCACCGCTAGCGGCTGTCGCACCGGGATCAAGGTCCTCGGCAGACAATGGGGCATGGGATAGAGCGTCAGCTACCACGTTGGCGCTCCCCTTTCGATGCTGCACTGCAAAGTTATAGTGCTGTATCAGGAGAGCCCAGCGCACCAGCCGGCCCGCAGGCTCACGGAGCCGCATCATCTAGCTGAGCGCACTGTGATCCCTTTGCAAAACGAATTTCGTCTTATCAAGGCAGACATCAAACTTTTGTAATGCAAGCACAATGGCGAGGCACTTTTTTTCAGTCGTGGAATAATTTTTCTCCGCAGGGACCAAGGAGCGGCTGGCAAAGGCCAACGACTGCAACACGCAATCGTATTCCTGTAGGAGAACTGCTCCTAAACCTAGATCGCTCGCATCATATTGTACAACGAACTGTCTGGTCAGGTTGGGGGGCTTGAGCTGCGCTGTCTCTGCTATGGCGTTAAACAGTCGGCAAAACGCCTCCTGCTGCTCAGGTCCCCCATCGCCACTCAGCAGACTTACCCAAGAGCTTGCTCAAGGGCGCCTGCAGTTGGGCACAGGATGGAATGAAGGAACGGTAAGAGTTGACCATTTTGAAAAAGCGGCGAAGGTCACGTACGTCCTTGGGAATGGGAAAATCGAGGATACCTCGAAGTTTCTCCCGATCTGGCTCAACGGAGCCTTCGTCCAGCGTAAATCCGAGTAACTGGATACGAGTCTGCGCTAGTTGGACCTTAGCGGGATTTAACATCATCCCAGCGGTCCTAACCCTCTTGAGTACGTCGGCAACATGGGCCAAGTGCTCTTTGAAGCTTCGTGAATAAATCACGATGCCGTTGAGATAGCACATGCAGTGTGACAACATTGCTTCCCTGAGGATGCAGGCCCATGAGTCTATGAAATGTCGCAGGAGCATTACAAAGACCAAAGGGCATCGAGTAAACTCGAACGATTCTCTGTAGGACGTGAACGCAGTTTTACACTGGTCAGAGTCACGTATCTGGACCTGTAGGTAACCTTTAGAGGCATCAAGCGTGGTAAAGTATCGTTCATCACTCAGGTTTCCGTAGATGAAGTTTATCGTGGGGAGTGGATAGGCATCCTTCCGAGTCGCTCTATTCAGACGGCAATATTCTACACAAAGGTGATGACTGCCATCTTTCTTAGGCACCAATACAATTGGAGACACCCAGGAGTTAGATGAGCAGCAAATAATGCCAGCTGCAAGCAGTCGATAATCTGACTTTTGCGAGACTGACGGGCCTGGGGTTACA